TTTTTTTTTTTTTTTTTTTTAAACCAATCTTTTGCACTCTAATGTCCAGTTTGATCACAGCAGATGAATTAAACTTTACTGCCTGGGTAATGTTTAAACGTCTTTTTAATCTTTGGCACACAGACACAGTTTGCAGTTTAGCAACAAAGTAATACAGAGGCCACATTTGCAAATATGACTGAGTTTATTTTTACACATGGCTCTCATACATGCTTTAGTAAAAGTTCGAGACATATAACCTTGTTATATGAAACCTCAAAGTGTCTAGTTTGTAAAGAGAAACCAGTGCAACCAGTCAAACCACTTCAAGTTTCTGTTTCACTTGTCCTTTTCATGTTTCTGTTTACTTTGCTCCTCTTGTCATTTATGCTCTTACCCATCCTCCTCTGCAGTCAAATGTTTTTAGTGTTTGGGCTAACTTCGTTTCAAAGCGTCAGTCATCAGTCATCACCAGAATTAAATATTAGATTATTCAACACCTGTCGGGGTTCATGGCACAAGCATACAGTCAATCACATGATGACCCTTCAACGTTGCGGCACTGTACAGACCTGTTTTTGTTCAAAAGATTGTAAATAATGAACTAGTAACGATGTGCTTTTAATTCGAGAGCTTTAAAAGAAAAATAGTCATAGGATATAGGAATTTATTTCAGTTATAGTCCTAAAAATTGTGCAAGTTGTTAGGCTTCATTTTTAAAGATAATTGGTAAATGGTTTTTAAAATCTTTTTGATCATTTTTATTTTATTTTACTTTTGCTGTTTAATTCTGTGGACAACATGAAACTAAAGGAATTAGTCGGTGTATAAGATGCTGACAAATCTTTCAAAGGAATTTCCTATTAAATTAAACCACACGGACTATTTATTAAATTAATGCCTATAAAAAGTTTAAAAAATGTAAATAAAAGCTTCTGTTTCGTGTGCACACGTTTCCCCCCGTGGATGTGGGGGTGCTTTGAATCAACCAGTCATATTATTTTATGCTCAGTAGTCGTCGATCTAATCATTGGATCATTTTATTATTTTGAGTATGGTTAAAGTCGAGTTATTTACAGGGAAATCGTCTAGACAGCTTCCTGTCTGTCATCTTTTAGACTGATTCACAAAAAAACTTTCAAATAATAAACAAGACCTCAGAGCTGGGAGATAGTGGACTGGTCTACAGAAGATTACATGATCATTAGATGTGATACGCAGCATTTTGTGAACAATTATTAACAATAATAGATACTATGGCACAACAATGATGTCCTTCCAGACTAATTTGGACAAAAATTTAACTGGTTAAAAGATACTTTTCTTTTCTGGTCTATGATAGTAGATTAAGCATCTGTGTCCAGCTAGTTATCACAAAAAATATACTTGGAGACACAAATCACTTGGAAAGTTGTTGAGAACAAACTTGTTTTATGAAGTCTCTCAAAAACTTCATGGCTTATAACGGACAACATTTATGTAGTTTCACAAATGCATTTAAAGTTGTACATATTCATTTTGCACTTTTTGTAGCAGTTTTTTGTTAAGAGATTTCAAAGCTATTCAAGCAAACCCATTCAATAGCAACAACACTTTGAGCGTCTTTGAATGAATCAGAATTGAAAACATAAATAAATACATATGCAGGAAGAAATAACAAAATTGTAAAAAACGTCTTTATTGATAATTTCATAGGTGTGGTGATGAAGCAAAGAAGCATAACTGTTGAGGTTATATTTAAGTTTATTGGTTTAAAAATTGTCATAATCCACAATCCTGTGTACAACCCTGAAACTGTCTTCTCTTCCCTTAACACACATCTCACAATTACCGGTAGGTAAATGTAGTTTACTTTGTTTTAAGAAAAACGGCTGCTCTTTCAGAGTTTGTGATTTCTTCTAAACAAGAAAATCCTAAATGCATTCAACCTTTATACAGGTTAGTCTCATTGAACCACGAGGACTCATTTACATGCGAGACCGTTTTAAACGAAGAAGACAGACGAGGTACAGACGACAATAGACAATCATACAGTATAACCACACACACACACACACACACACACACACACACACATCTCTCTCTTTCTCCCTCGCTCTCGCTCTCTAGATATAGATAGATATATAGATAGATATATACATACATACATACATGTATACAAACCAGATTCCAAAATTCCAAAAAGTTGGGACACTAAACAAATTGTGAATAAAAACTGAATGCAATGATGTGGAGGTGCCAACATCTAATATTTTATTCAGAATAGAACACAAATCACAGATCAAAAGTTTTAAACTGAGATAATGTATTATTTTAAGGGAAAAATATGTTGTTTCCAAATTTCATGGCATCAACAAATCCCCAAAAAGTTGGGACAAGTCCATTTTTACCACTGTGTGGCATCCCCCCTTCTTCTTACAACACTCAACAGACGTCTGGGGACAGAGGAGACCAGTTTCTCAAGTTTAGAAATAGGAATGCTCTCCCGTTCATGCCTAATACAGGCCTCTAACTGTTCAATCGTCTTGGGCCTTCTTTGTCGCACCTTCCTCTTTATGATGCACCAAATGTTCTCTATAGGTGAAAGATCTGGACTGCAGGCTGACCATTTCAGTACCTGGATCCTTCTCCTATGTAGCCATGATGTTGTGATTGCTGCAGAATGTGGTCTGGCATTATCGTGTTGAAAAATGCAGGGTCTTCCCTGAAAGAGATGACGTCTAGATGGGAGCATATGTTGTTCTAGAACCTGAACATAGTTCTCTGCATTAATGGTGCCTTTCCAGACATGCAAGCTGCCCATGCCACAAGCGCTCATGCAACCCCATACCATCAGTGATGCAGGCTTCTGAACGGAGCGTTAACAACTTGGGCTATCCTTGTTCTCTCTGGTCCGGATGACATGGCGTCCCAGTGTTCCATAAAGAACTTCAAATCATGACTCATCTGACCACAGAACAGTCTTCCATTTTGCCACACTCCATTTTAAATGACCACTGGCCCAGTGCAAATGTCTGAGCTTGTGGAGCTTGCTTAGAAATGGCTTCCTCTTTGCACTGTAGAGTTTCAGCTGGCAACGGCGGATGGCACGGTGGATTGTGTTCACTGACAATGCTTTCTGGAAGTATTCCTGAGCCCATTCTGTTATTTCCTTGACAGTGGCATTCCTGTTTGAGGTGCAGTGACGTTTAAGGGCCCGGAGATCACGAGCATCCAGTAGAGTTTTATGGCCTTGACCCTTACGCACAGCGATTGCTCCAGGTTCTCTGAATCTTTTGATGATGTTATGCACGGTTGATGATGATAACTTAAAGTCTTTACTATTTTACGCTGGGTAACACCATTCTGGTATTGCTGCACTATCTTTCTGCGCAACAATGGTGGAATTGGTGATCCTCTCACCATCTTGGCTTCTGAGAGACACTGACACTCTGAGAAGCTCTTTTTATATCCAATCATGTTGTCAATTGACCTAATTAGTGTTAATTGGTCTTCCAGCTGTTCGTTATGTGCTCAATTTCCTTTTTCCAGCCACTTATTGCTACTTGTCCCAACTTTTTTGGGATTTGTTGACACTGTGAAATTTTGAATCAACATATTTTTCCTTTAAAATGTTACATTTACTCAGATTAAACTTTTGATCTGTCATCTATGTTATATTACGAATAAAATATTGACATTTGCCATCTCCACATCATTGCATTCAGTTTTTATTCACAATTTGTTTAGTGTCCCAACTTTTTTGGAATCCGGTTTGTATATTTATCTATATATATATCTATATCTATCTATATATATATATATAGATAGATAGATAGATATAGATATATATACGAGTGAGTGAATGTACTTTTTTCACTATTTTGTTACTGCTGTTTTTTTTTTTTAACCCTCATAAACACGTGTTTAGTCTACAAAGTTTGATTCACAGAATAGATAATGCATTTTTACTCTGAGTCTACAGTGTGCACCTCAGTTCTCTGATCCTCTAGATGTAAATATAACTGAGACAGCCTTGTTTCGTTTTGACCTTGACTGATGAAGGGCTTAAAGCGTCAGACAGTCAGACACATCTGCATTGCTGTGGTCTACCACACTGTCTCTCACAAACTGAGCTTCCTCCTTTTGCTCCAGCAGAACATGTACGTCTGAAAGATTACATCAGTGTTTGCTGAGGGCATTTTTAGTTGGTGCTGGTTTTGGATTCAGTCGGCATCTGTAGGTGTCTTCCCAATTAGTTTGTAAACCTTCGTGACATGTACACCAATATTTGCATTGATGTTTTAAGAAGTGTTGAGTCTGGTAGAAAATGTTATTTTTATCTATTTTACCAGTGAAAATTTAATCTAAATGCTAGCTGTTGGTGTGCTAAACATAAAGTCCCATAGATGTATTTACAGTACTTACTCAAAATAAAAAAAAAACATAAAAAAATTAAATTGTAGTTGTTTCAACATCTTTAGCTGAGTTAATTGTGATTACTTAAAGGTGATGTGACACTAAGAGAAGAACTTGAATGAGGAAAAGGAAAATTAAAAGTGCTTCTGTTTTATTCATATGCTATATAAATACTCTAAAGTCAACATGAACTGCCTTTCTGCCCTTTAAAGCTGTACATAAAAAGTATAATTTATGCTTCTTTCTGAGAAGTGTTAAACTTCACCGTAAAGTGTGAAGAAAAATGTTATTAAACCAGAATTTAGATTATCACCAGTACTAAAACTTCACTTTTTTAAATCTTTCATTGTGTCTACAAATGTAACCTATTTTACTCAGTAGGCACTTTTCTTCACCACAGTCTGTCTGCATCGGGTTTCCTGTAATTTACGTTACTTTTGAGAGGGCAGATGTGGGGAGCTTAGCTGTTGGGAAGAATGTTAGAGGTCATTCTTTCACTGGCATTTTTGGCTTTTCATTTTTATTCTCTTCCGCGCTTTAAGCAAGAATACAAAAAATGACTGTGCAGACTCGTAAAGGGCTTTTAGATTCTCTGGCTTGAAGAATGTTGGGGTGGCTGGTGTGGATTTAACACAACTAAACTTAGTCAACCCTCATTGCACCTCACCTGTACCAGCTGCTGCTTGAATTACTGTATTTTTCAGCCTATAACTCACGTTTTTTTTTGCATTATTTGCATGCCCTTTGACTTGTAGGCCGAAGCGACTTATTTATGGATCCCCCCCCCCCCCATATTTATAAACCAGTTTTTGGCTGAGATATGACCGTTTTCATTCATTCTGACTGAATTATTTTTTTTGAACAGTACCATTTTCAGCCACTAGACGGCAGCAGAGTACTAGTAGCAGTATGGCATCAGTTTTTGGCACAACACTGGCCCACATTTCTGGTTTGTCAGCGGTGATGCATAATAGATGCAACGTATACAGCAATGCAACATATTTATGGATTTTCCACTTTTTTTTAAGACTTATTTGGACTGACGCGACATAGGGCAGTGTGACCAGTATGACGGAAAAAACAGTATATAAGTACACCTTTACACGCAAACATGCAGCATTACTCTGCACTGCCAATCACACAGTTACTTGGAGGCTACTCTGCAGGTTTAGGTGAAGCTAATTTGGTTCAGGCAAATATTGACATTTTGAGACCCTTGAATTTTCATTTTCTCTTGTCTTGAAAAAGATCACTATGACATTGTGTCACTTAATTATTTGATTTATTTTGTTTTAGTTTTTTTTCTTTTCATTTTTGGGAAAAAAAGTTTTCCTTCCCCTTTTTTCTGCTCATATTTTCTGTATTTTCCATTGTGGCTCATCTTTAGAAAGTAAACTTATTTTTAATCGCACTGTACTCTCACAATAAGAGTGAACTAAAATAACACTTTATTATATGGTTCTTGAGTCTTCTAGCCAACAAGCAATTATTCCATTTGTTGTAAGGCATCTTTTCTTGCCATCCTCCTTCCTCAAGTGGTTTTCAAGACCGCTCCGCTGCAGTCTTACCCTTTCTTTGACATGCTTGGAGCCCCAGCGCCTGCCAATAAAATAAATAGCAACAGACTTGATTATATGGGGATACACTGGGCACAAACACTGCATCCATTTAGTTTGGAGAGCCCAAATGGATAGATAGGCTCTTTTGAAAGCACTGAGTCGGAGAACCAAAGCACACGAGTGTTGGCAAAAGTGGTTGACTACATGCGGCTGCCTCAGAGGGCCTCACATCCGTCATATATCAATCCAGACCTCTCGGGTTTGCTGCTTTTGTCTGGCCTAGAGCAGACGTGATATTCCACTCCCAGCAGAGGACAGTAGCCTCTTTTAAAGAAATCTGCTGCTGGCTCAGCGTCTCCTCGAAAGAAAATGAAGGTTGCTGTCCTGCTGAAGGGGAAGATTATGTTTTTACGAGGCCCACCCAAGCGTTTCACCACCAACACCACATTGTGGGCTGGAAAAGGCCAAAACTAGAAGGCTCACCTTAGTCCACATTTTTATCTCATTTTGTCTTAAGAAATAAAAGTTCAAAATGGCAGCGGCCCTAAACCGGATAAAGGTCAGTTTTTGTGCAACGGGCTTTCACCCACTTCACTCCCTTCCCTAAAGTTGACCTTATTTATAAATCAAGTGTTCAGCAACAAACGCTGCAGCATACACAGAAAAACCCAAAGCACTGATTGATGATGATCATGCTAAGTTATTGATCTGTGATTGCAGATTTTATTTTGATTATAGTAGCTTCATTGATATTAACAGTTTTGATAAATATTGAAAATGGAAACGCACAATCACGTCTATGATCATGTATTAGATTTGGAATTGGAATTGGAGCTCACCAGCGGTGAGCTGATGGAAGTGTAGTTGTGGGAGATGCAGACTTCTTTAACGTTCATACAGGAAGTATACATGACACGGAATGCACACAAACACAACTGGAATAAATATTTTTAAAAAGTAGTGAATGAAATGTAACAAAGAAGTAAGGAAAATACTTTTCTTTTTATGTTAATTCATCAGAGGCAGCAGCTCTGCTTGTCCATCTGACCTCTTTAAATGTGCTTGTATCTTTCTGCTATTTCAAAGTGTATGTAGTCCTCTGTTTTCTTGGTGGCGATGTTTATCAAACATCAACCCCAACTGTTCGCAGGTGTAGATCAGATTTGCTCCAGGTTTGGACATTAGATATAGTGGGAATTATTGGCACAACACATCCATATTTTTTGTATAAATCTGTTGTTCAGCACAGGAAAAAACTACAATAATTGTTTTAATGCAGATAAATTCACTTTAGACAAAAATGTGTCATGGATCATACTGACAAACTCTTCATCTCTTTCCTTTAATGTTCCCCAACTACCTTTTCATGCTTTGTTCATCACTCTCCATCTGCTCCACTCCTCTCCCCTTCATCCACCACTGATTCTTTGTCCTCCATCTGCCTTCACCCACCTTTTCCACTCCAGTCACCCGCCGCAGTTAAAGGACCAGGGTGGTCCTGGGGGCCCTCAGCAAGCTCTGTCCCCGGCTCAGTTACCTGAAGAGGCCGAGTGCCTGACGGTGCCCAAATACAAGAGGGACCTGGTGCAAAAGCTGAAGGTCCTGCGACAAGAACTTTCACAGCAACAACCCCAGGCTGGTCACTGTCGCATCGAAGTCAGCCGGGAGGAGATCTTTGAGGTAAAACAATCTAAATGCCCTCTCACCTGCCTGTAATGATAAAATAGCATTGTGTCAGTTTTCTAAAAGTCTTACGATCTGCTGATGCAAAACTATCATTACCTTTTTACAATCACAATAAGCTGTTGTGTACCCGACCCTTAAAATAATTAGACTAAAGAATAATAATTAGAAAAAAATTTATAGTTTGTATTTATTTTTGTGATGCGATTTTTAGTTTAAACAATACAAGAAAAAAGTGGACACATACAAATTAATTCCTAAATATTTAAGATGACCTTTTAATCTTGCCCCAAAGGGAGAAAAAAATGCACAAATATGTAAAGTATGCATAAATATTTTATTTAAAACCTCATGTTCTGTTATGCACAGTTTAAATACAGGGTTCTGATTTTGAAGATGTTTGTTTATTTATTTATTTTACGATGGGCTGCAGACGCAGCTCAGAACCGGCACCTCGAGCTGTTTTTGTGATTTCCAGAGCGAAGCAGGAACAGAATGGCCTTCACAGCACCTTAGACCTACGTCTCAGTTTCTCTTTTCCTTTTCAGACTCTTCTCGGTCTTGCAGTCGTTTGTTCAACTGAGGCAAAGGCATTCTTTATGCGTGATTTCAGCAGCTAAAGCAATAGGGGAGAGGTAGGCGGAGCGGGCGAAGCAGCAGTCTGTGGCCAGACATCACAACAAGCTATGAGAGCCATGACTTCACCCCAGTTTGACATGACAGATGGAGGAAGTCGGGCTTTCGAAACAAGTCTGCAGATCCTCTTGTGGATTTTGTGCAGTGGTGCAGTTTAATGACATAAAATGGCTTTTCTGGTATTTTACAGTGTAGACTCGCAGAACAGATTTATTTCTTAAATCTCTTTATTTTTATAACCAATATTTTTTTCCCCCCTTTCTCTCTTCAGTTACAATAATTCAATCAGCAACCATAGTTTATTGGCAATGCTTTTATTTTTTAAAGCTGAAACTTGTTTCCTGTGCCATGGTTCTCTTGTAGCTTCAGACACAATATAATTTAGAAGATATTCAAAATGTTTTTTTGTCAGCATCATAGATCAGTTGGTTTTTACGTATAAAACCCTTAATGAAACAGGAAATGTTTCTTAGTTGGTTTCAGAGTCACTGAGTTTAAGAGAAGAGAGACCGAGAAGAACCACTGGTTATACTGGTAAACTAATTTAAAACTGATGGATCAGTTTACTGCTATAAAAACTAAATTTTTTAGTTTTTAGTTTGTTTATAAAGTTATACAGTAAATTTTTTTGGTATGTATTTACATATTTCTATCTGAAGTTTTAGATGTTTACTACAGCTGATAAGCTAACGTTTTTTTTATTTTTTTATTGACGTTTTGTCTATGGCTTTCCTTCTTTCTTCTTAACGTGCCTATTTATTCACTTTAACGTTGAACCAAGATTTACATCAAAGAAAATCCTGCAACACTAATTCCAGTTTAATATTTATTGTGTAATAGCAAACCTGATGTCTGTGTCAAATCTTAGGAGTCGTACCGTCAGGTGATGAAGATGCGCCCAAAAGATCTTTGGAAAAGACTGATGATAAAATTCAGAGGAGAGGAGGGACTGGATTATGGCGGTGTCGCGAGGTAGTTTGTCGTTATGTTGTGATTGTTTCATTGTGATTTAACTGAAGTTTGACTTGAAAACGTGCGCGTTTGTTTGTTTGTTTGTTAGGGAATGGTTATACCTGCTGTCACACGAGATGCTGAACCCGTACTACGGCTTGTTCCAGTACTCCAGAGATGACATTTACACTCTACAGATCAACCCCGACTCTGCAGTCAACCCAGTACCAATCACTTTGCCTTATTGCTTCAACTTCCTAGTAGCCAAATGCTAATACTGCTAGTTCAATGTTTGTTTTGTGAAATGGTAAGAACGTCATGTGAACATAGATTTATGTATTCTGTCTACAGGAGCATCTGTCGTACTTCCACTTTGTGGGTCGTATCATGGGCATGGCGGTGTTCCACGGCCATTACATCGACGGAGGCTTCACGCTGCCCTTCTACAAGCAGCTGCTTGGAAAACCAATCACGCTGGAGGACATGGAGTCTGTTGACCCTGACCTCCACAACAGCCTCGTTTGGATTCTGTAAGATAAAGATTTATCCAAATGTTTTGTTTTAATGTGTAAGGGAAGTAAAGCAGATTTGACAAAATTATTTTCATAGTACTTCCTTACAGGAGCAAGTAAAATACGTCTCTAACAATTCACTGTAGCTGTTGCATTTCTCAATTGGATAATTATTTTATTGTGCAAATCTTTCCAAAACAAAAATGAGCTTTGGCACATTAACTCAAGTGTCTGTGTAACCATGATAATCTTAGAGAAGCTAAACGTTTCTGTGTTATTTGTTGTGATGTTGTCAGTAGTAATGGCTTCCAAACTATGTGAATATGAACTAGTAAAATCTTTAAGTGCAGATATAGTTAAACTCTATTGTCTGCTCTACAATAAAAAATAAACTGGTTAAATTCTGAAATTTCCTCACAGCTCATTTCAGTCTCATTTGTATCCAACGCAGTTGATTACAGTCAAATATATTGGTGGTTATAAACTACTACTAATAAAAAAAAACGCCCAGCTAAAGAAACTTACAGGTGCTGGTCATAAAATTAGAATATCATGAAAAAGTAATTCCATTCAAAAAGTGAAACTTGTACATTCATCCATTACACACAAACTGATATATTTCAAATGTTTATTTATTTTAATGTTGATAATTATAACTGACAACTAATGAAAACCCAAAATTCAGTATCAGAAAATTAGAATATTGTGAAAAGGTTCAATTTTGAAGACGCCTGGTGCCACAGTCTAATCAGCTAATGTACTCAAAACACCTGCAAAGGCCTTTAAATGGTCTCAGTCTAGTTCTGTAGGCTACAGATATACACGCACATATATATATATATATATATATATATATATATATACACTAGACTGAGAAAACTGCAGAGTAAGGGGAGGAAAAGCCCCTTTTCTATAAAAATACAAAGATTTCAGCCCGTTTGTTAAGAAAATATTTGCTTCCTGAAAAAAAGATAAGTGAGGACTCTACCTCCCTTTCTACAAACACATAAATCTGCAGAACAAATAAATGCCATGTCAGGAGTTGATGCTGATGATTTTCACTTATTTTGGGCGGTCTTGGTACTTTTTTTTTTTTTTTGCCGATTGTAATCTAAATAAAATGTCATGTGCTTTATCTTCTTTCTGCCTGTCCTCCTTCCCCAGAGAAAATGATATCACTGGTGTTCTGGACCACACCTTCTGTGTAGAGCACAACGCCTACGGAGAAATAATCCCACATGAACTCAAGCCCAACGGGAAAAGTATCCCTGTGGATGAGGAGACCAAGAAGGAGTATGTCAGGTACAGAAGTGATGCAGATACGAGAGATTGTCAGAGCAACATGGAGCCCACACAACCACCACAAATGGATTTTTCTGATTCATTTAGTGTGAAGTAATTTGTTCTGTGATGAAGTGATGTGCTTCCTGTGTTTTGCGATCCTTCCACAGGTTGTACGTGAACTGGCGTTTCCTTCATGGCATCGAGGCTCAGTTTCTGGCCCTGCAGAAAGGCTTCAACGAGGTCATCCCACAGCACCTGCTCAAAGCCTTCGATGAGAAGGAACTGGAGGTACAACGATACTTTTACCTCAGTTTATCTTAAAGAAAACAATTACAGCCCGTGTTTGTCTTTGTTTACTCTTCGTCTTTCCCCCCTACCTTCTAAAGAATCACCTGTTGAAAGTTGATGTGAATGTTCACCTTTCAGCTGATAGTATGCGGTCTGGGGAAGATCGACATCGCTGACTGGAAGTCCAACACCCGTCTGAAGCACTGCACCCCTGACAGCAACATTGTGAAATGGTTCTGGAAAGCTGTGGAGTCGTTTGATGAGGAGAGGAGAGCACGGCTGCTGCAGTTTGTTACTGGTTCATCTAGAGTCCCACTGCAAGGCTTTAAGGCTTTACAGGGTACCGAAAATCACTTTTTACTTTCCAAAGCTTACTTCTAGGTAAAGTTAACGCAGGGGTTCCCAACCCTGGTCCTTGAGGAACACCATCCTGCATGTTTTAGTTGTTTCTCTGTTCCGACACACCTGATTTTAATTAATGGGTAATTAAGGGGCTTCTGCAGAACCTGAAGTAAATAAATCACTGAATCAGGTGTGGTGGAGCAGGGAAACGATTAAAACATGCAGGATGGTGTTCCTCAAGGACCATGGTTGGGAACTACTGAGCTAACGAACCATCTGCTGTAAAATGACCTGAATGTTTTTAGTGATGCTGTCTGCCTGAGCTTGTACAACTCATTAAATAATAATTTGTCACTTTTTCTTTTTGTACCTTTTGAACTTAAAGATCTTCCGAAGTTACATTTCTTTTTTTTTATTTTGTCTGTTCTTTCATTCATTTTCTGTCCAGTTTTTGCACCTGGTTATGAACGCATGTTAGGCAGTGTGCATTTAAATGAAAATGAACTGGAGCACAAATTAAATGTCAGACCAATTGACAACCGATGAATGTCTGAAAGTCACGCCTTTTTAAGAAATGGAGGGTGGAAGTCCAGCAAAGATGTGACACAAAATTTGAGAAGAGGGATCATCCTTCAGCTGGTCCTTGCCTGTAGGCCAAGTTTTTAGTTAATAAATCTCTTAGTCATTCAGTTAGTGTTAAAATGCTGTCAGTGATGCGTCTTTGGTATTTTTCATAGACTTGAGGACAAATTGTGTTCCTGTGAGAAGCTGCTGATAACAGAGGGCCTAAAATAGATTATTGTTATGATTCATTAGTAATCTTGGGAATTGTATAATTAGTGGTCAGAATTAAGTGGTTTAACAAAATAAAAACATTGTCAAATACAAACACAGGACAGAAAATTAGAAGAAGAAAAAACAGCCAATATTTATAGAAAAACGTTTAAATACATTTACAAAGTCTAAAGAACAATTTATTAAGACCAATTTAAACATTTACAAGAAAGTCTGGCTCTTTTGGAAGCAAAATATTAAAGTGGTAATCAAGACTGTTCATTATCTAATAGGTATGTTTGAAAGCTATAAAATCTACATACGTTGCTGTGATGAAACAAGCTTTTAACTGAATTCAGAAAACATGTGGCTTGAGTCTTTAATATTTCTTGTGAGAAGCTAAACGGCATCTGATGAATCCTGTTTGTGCCTTAATGGCAGGCGCTGCTGGACCCAGACTCTTCACCATTCATCAGATTGATGCCAACGCCAATAACCTGCCGAAAGCCCATACCTGGTGAGTTTCATACGCACAAATACGACTACACACATCAGTTGCATAAAAATATGATGGGCTTTAACGCTTACCATATTTTTTTGGACTAAAAGGCGCACTTAAAATCCTTTAATTTACTCTAAAATCGACAATGAGCCTTATAATCAGGTGTGTCATATGAATGAATTCTGGTTGTGTTACTGACCTTGAACTGATTTTCTGTGGTTATAGTGAATGAGTTGAATAAAGTTTGACTCATCTGACCGTTTTGTTTCACTTAATGTGCCGTATAGTCAGAAAAATACAGCAAAAGAGATGCTTTTAATATGCATTTTGTCCTGTTTAACTTGATATAAAGATTTGAAGTGTTGTTACCAAAGATCTCAGACTGAACAGATGTAGCACGATCTCACTATTACTAAACTGAAACTAAAGTGTCCTGATGCTCAATAATCCAGGTGTTTAAAAAAAATCTAAAAAGTCAGGTCCTCTGGGCGTGTGCAAAAAGTAAAAAAATATAAAAATTGTTGAAACGTTTCGTCTTTAATCCAAAAGACTTTGTCAGTCTGAGGAGCTGCAATAAACTCAGTCTTCTAAATAGCACCTTCTCATAGTGGCTCAACCAGTTTGTTGTTGACATCCAGAACTAGCTGTTCACATGATAAAGGAGGACCATCATCTTAATGTTAGTGCTCTGATGGCCGCTTGTTATTCACAGAGGGTTGAGTGATACTAGCAATAACAGCATTGTAAGAGGGGGACAGTTGAACACGTTCACCCCTGTTTAATGATGGACGGTTTCTTTTCACAAAGATGGCCTCCTTTACTCCTCTCTATCAAGGATGTGAACAACTTCATCCCTGAAAGAGTGACCGCTGGCCTGGAGATGAGCGTAAACTACAACTAAAGTGGATTTCAGTTTGGCTTTTATTGACGTGAACTCTCTGACTTTCTTTCCCCAGTTTCAACCGTGTCGACATTCCTCCCTACGAGAGCTACGAGAAACTTTACGACAAGTTACTGACGGCCATCGAGGAGACTTGTGGCTTTGCAGTGGAATGAGAGCCAAACTGAGGAATCTGTACGAGTTCACGTCAACTGCGCAGGACTTTGATAAAATGTTAACGTTGTTGCAAAGAGCTGGTTAGATCTCCCCGAGCGCCCAGCTGTCGCTCGTCCTCTCAACACATCCATCTCTGAGCAGCTGCTGTAGAGTCATCCCATTAAAGCACTTGTTTGGAGTTTAGTTGTCTGGAACACAAGTTTTGTTTTGCATTCTTACAAATATAAATTTTTATTCAAGTGAAATTAGAAACCTTAAAAAAAAAAAAACAACTAGACTTAAAAACGATTGATTTTTTTTTTTGCTAACTGATCCACATCAAGCTGCTGACTCTAACCCTGCAGGTAGCCGGTTCCCTCCGATGCCATCTTAACCTCAATCAGTCTCTTCCAGTCCTCTTGGCTACAGAGTTGGTGTTCTTTATCTTTTTAGGAGCAGTTTTATTTCATCCTACCTCATTGTCACGTTTTGATACATAAAAGTTTTCATTTTAACATGTCATGTTTATCTTTAAAGTGACGATTTATCTGATTTAGAACAAAAGAACACGTTTCTACAGCAGTGGTTCATAATTAATTTGTGATCACCAGCAGTCTTTTTGTACTTTTGAAACCGTATCATTTGAAAATCAACCATATCATTTTGTAGTGGGAGCAGGTGTTGGGCAGAAACCTTCGTTTTGGAGAAATTGTACAAAATCTTTTTCTCTTTTTAAAAAGCTGTAGCCTGAACATTTTGAAGTGTATGTCTGAGTATGTATATAACAGCACAAGAAGTAAGGACATTTGTGTGGTTGATTATTTCTTTATTGTGACGATGTGTCATGACAATAAATCTTTTCTGGTTGGAAAGCTTGTTTATTATCTTTAAATGGTGCCACATTTGTTAATGGTTGAGCAGGAGAGTTGAACATGTGGGTTGGGTCCCGTGCAAAACTTGCCAAATCACGTTGCCAATGCCGAACAGCCTCGGGTGATGCACATGTGATTGTCAGCACCTGTGAGTCCAGGACTGAACTCGTAACTTCCAAGATGACGATACTAACCCCACACAGGTGGAATGACCCTCCTGCAGTCTTGACCTCGACCCCAGTGAATACCTGTGGGATCATCTTGATCGTGACGTTTGTTCCAGACTGTCCGAAGCGACGTTTCTATGACAGCTGCTGGTTGGAGAATGACAAGGAGATGCTGCGCTGTTGTGGCTGTGTGTGGTTCTTCCACATGCTACTGAGGCCTAGTTTTGTTTAATGAATAATTGAAATTGCCCCCTTTTTTTTTTCTTTTTTTTTTTTTAAAGACTTCAATCATCCATGCCAATAAATTAAACCAAACAAGAATCAGAAGCAGAATGTTTGATTTTAAGTTTTTTTTTGTGGGTGCATCCAACAGACTGAACTCTGCTGCTCAACCCACAAATGCATTTTCCTTACAGTCGTGGCAACATTTAGGGGAAATAAACAGGCTTTACAACAAAACATTTTCGGCTAAAATTAATTGTTCCAACAAAGAAAATAACAAAACAAAAATTTCCTTACTTTTTCCTGCTAAATCTGCTTTATTACGCTGCACCTTTAGTTTTTTTTTGTAAGTCACCGCAGAACTGAAAGAATCTGACTGTTCTTTACATCGTAACACTTTTTATTTAGCAGTGCACATCCTTGCCATTAATCTATCGCACTTAATGTCGGATTATAAGTGGACTGGGCAGCGCTGTGCACAAAACATTTAGTTAAAAACTTTTCGAGGTGGATGACTTTTCCTCTTTCACGTCAGTTTAAACAATCTCAATACTTGTGAGCACTTTACAAACCGAGCAGTGATGAGTGCTTTCTTCACGTTGGATTAAAGTATATCATGCTTCTTTTGTGCGCAACAACGGTAGTAATACTCGGACTAAAAAAAAAAAAGTTTAGAGCTGTAATTTTTGAGTATATATGTACAAAGATATAGCTATTTTGTATATTGTTGCTTGTTCTTTTTGGTTTTAAATGCAAGCATGTTGATGTCTCTCAGATCCCTTTGCATTCTCAGGTGAAGTTTTTATTTTTATCTTTTTTCACACAGTATGCTAGTATGTTAAACTAACCACCGCCACCACCACCTTCCAATCTTCCTTGTAGGTGAACATTATGCAAATATTTGCTGCTATGCAGGTTTGTGTCACCACTGAACAACTTACTACACAGTCAATAATATGATGCACAGAAGTTTCCAAAATCAATTGGAACTCTTGGATGCTCCACAGAAACCAAAACAACACGTCACTAAAAACCTGAGGAAAAAACGCAACACACACGGACGGATGCTGAAATAAAAATCTATTTATTAGCAGAATTGTCACTCCTAGAAAATAGAAATTTCATTTTTATGTTCGCATTGATTTACAAGCATGGAAGACTGTGTTCACAGATTCATATCAGATTTTTTTTTTAATTAAAATCAAGAGGTGAAAACGAGCGAAGGTGGTCTTTGAACGGCTTTAAAGATTTTTGTTTTTACTTTTAAGAAGTCAAAGATATTTAAAAAAAAAAAATTTTGTATAATTTATGCTTTCATAGGTTCAAACATATAATCAAACACTTCCTTCAACGTACCAAATACTTGTTGAGCTTTTTTTTTTATTTTTTTTTTTAATGTACATCGTATGTTTGTCCACAACATTCTGCCACTTCTCTTGTTTTCTGTCTGATCTCATTGAAACAACCAGGTGAGGATATAATCATACTTTGATTCAGTTTGGGAGCATCTGATCTGATGATTGGACTAAAAACTAAAAGTTATGCACCTCTGTGATGGTTTGCTTAGTTACAAACCACAACCAGGTGTTGAATGTTCAGGAAACTCACTCCAAAACATTAACATGCATGTTTTTTATGGACCCTGCAGGACTTGATCAAAATTTTATGTGGAGTTGTTTTCTGTGTTCGCTTATGGCTTATAATGGACTCTAGATTGAAGCAGATACATTATTTCTTTTTTAAGACATCATATTTCCTTTCTGTTTTCCTCCTCCTTCTGTTTTTGTATTTATTTCAACAGTATGTGTTCATAGTTTCCACATTAGCTGCTCTGTGAGTTTGTAACTTACACCTGTACATACAAACAATAAAAAAAGCGCAAAGTAAGCAACTTCTTGTACCCTTACCGAACACTGAGCAATAAAAACATGCTGTTTGGGCGTGACAGCATTATGTTTTATAGAATCACATGCAGTACTGTCCTTTTTTTAGCTGCTGCAACTTATGGTTGTTATTATTGGTAAATATAGAATTATAGGTTTTTCACTTAAGAATAAATTGTACACTTCAAACATAAGCAGTTATTTATTTTTACAGTTTTTGTTTGTACGAAATTGTGGAAATTCGCTTTTTTTGTGTGTGTAGTACGACAACTATGCTGTCCACCTACACAAAAAATCAAACATCAGGTGATGTTTTTGCCTACGCTTGTGTGCGTTTGTGTTTGACTATTACAAAAATATTTCATGAACCATTAGATGAACAGTTACAACTGGGTCAACCTGGTTCAAGATGGCTGCCACACATAAAAACGTAAAGGGCTAAAATTCAATCAGTTGCTCAGATATTGAGCTAAAAAAATTTTTCACTTTTATTATTATCATCTCTTTATTATTATTATATATTTTTCTCGGTGACACTGATAAAGAAAAAATACTGAGTATTGTATAAAAAAATCTTGCAGATAAAGATCAAAAGACTGGATGGACATGTTTTTAAAGCATATAATGAGTTATGTTACTGAAGCATTTACATATATATATATGTATATATATGTATATATGTATATAT